AACGGGTGAAGTGTCTTGCCCAAGGACACAACGACCGAGACTGTCCAAGCCAGGGCTCGAACCGGCAACCTTCCGATTACAACTCCCAACTCTTGAGCCACGGTATTAGTGAGGAATTATCAGATACATTTAAACACACAGTCCTCTATTTAGGTAAATCTAACTTTAAATATCTTCAGGGGTCAGATCATGTGAAGATGTCCTACCAGTCCACCAGTGTCAGCTCAATTTCACATATGATGGCAGAGCAACGCAAACACACCAGTGCACGAGTATCCATGCATACAGTAATGTTTGCCACTTCTACGTGGATTAAATCAAACTTCACACATGCAACAAATGCATCTGTTTTTGGCTGTTAGTGATGATGTTTACTGTCGCCTGCCTGATTATTGCCTCCAGCATCTGATTGTTACTGTAAGAGAGGGGGTGGCTTATTACAGCTCCAATAATTGCAGTAAGGGGTAACCTCTCTGGATATATCTACAAAGTATGATGGTAGCAGTGCCACATAGCATTGATATATCCATAAACCCACTCGAGGGACCGAATAGCTTCCGTAAAGCTCATAGCAGTGTACGCCATCTAAAAGGGTCAGGCATTCATTTGAAACTATAAAAAGCAGGCGATGTTGAGATGAATCAACATATAGATACTTGGTTATCAAAGCAGTTAGTAAAATGTGTTTTGTATTTAATGCAGCAGTTTATTGCAGTCAAAATGACAACTATAATTTACAGTGTAAAATGACATTAATCCCCAAGGATTTGATTGCAGTGCATAACAAATGTTACAACTGAAAAACAAAATGAATTTCATGACTCACTTTGTTGTAGCTGATGTTCACTATTTATATTCATACATATGTTTCTCGGGTTTCCTATTTTTGATTGATACAAGATTTCAGTTGTTTCCTCTGCTTTGTTTTAGTTCATCCTAAATGAACATTGGCCCTAAGATAAGCCTTACATTTATATGATGTATTTTTTCTATTATACATTATAATATCCCCAAAGTCGTTGCAATTCCATATCGAAAAATGTTGTTCTTCAATCATAAGTGTTTTGCTGCACTGTTACACGGAAGAATGAACCTTCTTGGGTATGCTCTTTTTATACCCAGTTTTATTAGTATTTGCCCCTGTCCAACTTTTTCTATATGCTGAATCAAGTTTCAGCTCTGGATAAGTTATCTTCTTAATGTTTTCAGTTAAATATAGGCTTTAAGTGTTTGGCAAATCACTGAACTGTGAGTTTATCTACACTTTACTGTTTACAACATTTTAAATGTTGTAAAATGATAACCAGCATTTCTTGACTTCACAAGAGATGGTGTTCTAATTATACTCTTCATCTGTTTGCAAGCGTCTTTTAACGATATCCTGTCATGTATACGAGATAATGATTTGTTATTATTAATTCCAACAGCTCCCAGAGTGCACCAGCTGGAGGGGAACATGTGTGAGATAACATGGGAAACTATTCCACCAATGAGGGGGGACCCTGTGAGCTATGTGCTCCAGGTGCTGGTGGGACGTGAGTCAGAATACAAACAGGTTTGTAACACACACATGTAAACGGGTCTTATATGTGTAGACATAAGAGCTGTCCAGTTCATCTAAACGCTAGAAAACTGCTGGAATTAATTAATTCAAGTTTCTTTTGACATTTGATGGAAGAGTAAAATACCCATGTGTGAACACTTCTCTCATATACACCCCCCCTGCTGAGAGGTATTAAATACTTTTAATAAAAATTACAAAACAGAAGTATCTCAGGAAGAGTCTGCTGCACCTGGAAATATAGGATTTGATTGCTCACAGCTGCAGCGGTGGGCAGGCGGGTAGACAAAAAGTTATTTGTCTTCAGGGCCATTTCAACTTCTGTTATTGAATTACAGAATGGTTGGTGAGAAGAACCGCAGACTCATAAGTAGATAAAACCTGTGCTGTGTGGATATGTGATGCTGCTTTATGTTTGCAGAGATATGTTATCAGATGCTGCTTTTAACATTTTGTGTTCTTTTTTTTTTTGGGGGGGGGTGTTTTTCCTTATTTTTGTTGGGGTTTTTTTTATTTCTTTCTGAGAAAACCAGTAAATGCACTCAGAGTTATATTTACCTCTTGTCAGTTTGAGAGTCTAACAGCACTAACACAGTTCAGTGCACCTTTATCAAAACATTTCTTCCACTGCAGCACTAAAAATAAAATGGTGTTTTTTGTCTACACACATTTCTCCCTTGACACAAACACCACTTACCTTTCTACAAGTTCAAATCCAAAGAAACTCTACCCTGTAAAATGCAAAGAAAAACACAAGGCGGTCATTTAAATGTCCTAAACATGTTTTTTAATCACAATAGAACATAGGAGACATGAAATTTTAAACTGAGACATTTTACTATTTCATCAAAAAATATTAGTTCATTTTGAAGTTGA